CTCTTTCTCAAAAATAAATAAACATTAAAAAAATTAAAACAAAATCTTCTTGTGGGTTCCAGTGGCTGTTGGGATAAGGTCCCCAGCTAGCCATCCACATCTGTGAGGCAACATGCAGTTGTCTCTTGCGACCACCACTTCTTAAATACATGATCTGGCATAAATTTACTTTACTTTTTTGTGTCTCCATGGCCATTATAATTCCTCAGTGATCCTTGAAGGATCAATTTAAACATTAAAGGTAATGAATACAGTTTGCTGGGCACATAGAAAGTACTGAGTAAATATCAGTGCTGCTGTTGGTACTGATAATCTGGCTCCTGTCTACCCCTTGAACTCTTCTGTCATTCTTTCTCTATACACGGTATGGTCCAGCCATGCAGAAACATCCGTAGGCTTCTGGAAGAATTGTGGTCTGTTTAAATGTCTCTCTCTCTCTGCCAGAAATGCTTTTCCTAACTTACATTGCCTAATAAGAGTCATTCTCCAGGACGAGGCTCATCCCTTCTAGAAAGTGTCCGACTCTTCTGGCTCTCCTTTGTTTTTCCTGTCACCTCTCTGCTTCTATCACGATGATAATCCTAGTTTAGGGTGATTATACTTTCTTTCTTTTCCTCCAAAGATTATGAGGACAAGATTATTTTTCTTTCTTTCTTTTTAAATGGGAGAATGCCTGTATTTGTTGAATGAATAGATTTATGATAATCATTTAATAAAATTGTGGCAAAGATCAGGACACATTCTCGACCCCCCACTCCCTTTAAGAATCCTACAGTAACCTACAAGACAGAGAAATCACTGAACAAATGATTCTTAGGCGATTTTATTGGTCATGTTATGTTCCAATCCTTCTTGCCTTGAATATCAGGTAATATTTTAAATCCAGCTCACAGATAGAAACTTTGAAAAGTATTTTTATAAGCCATATGTTATAATAACTTCTCTTTTCTCCTTTGAATTTCTTCCCCTTGGATAGATAGGGCAGCCCTTAAAACAAAGACTGAAGGTTAGGTTTCTGATATTCAGAGCCTTCCTTCTCTTTTTTAATATCCACACATAGAGTATGTGCTTTGAAGATGCAAGTTATCTAAATGTTACCCATCAATGAGGCGTGTTGCTCACAGAGGTCTGGGGTGGTGGGTAATGAATGGTAGGGATATTCTACAGCAATTATTTGAGGGCAACAGGAGAAAAAAGAATAAAAACAAATGGAAATCCCAAGATAACAATGAAAGAGCCATTATGCAAAAATTTGGGGATATAAACCCTTAAAGGGATAAGGTCAGGGGATGGGGAGAACATACATTTTAAAGTTTTCTACTTTTGTTATTTAAAAGCATTAGATTCCTGTGTGATTATTAATACTGTTCAACAAGAAATACGTTGATTTCCTAATCCCAAATACAGACTATCAAACCAAATGATATTGCCACAGTCAGGAAACTTGCAAAGCCCCCGCATCTTATTATGAGAATCATGGACTGTGTTCTGCTACTATTTCAAAAGAAAATTGACCCTGTCACTATGGATCCAGAAAAACCTTGCTGCAAACCATCCTGGGGAGAGTCATTAAAAGTAAGTAAAAATCTTTGCAAGACCAATGAGATTCATCAGGTGTCCCCAGTCCAGGACATTCAATATAGACCAGACAAACTGGCAGGCAGTAATTGATAATTGTGTAATGAAGAGTTTATCTTAAACTGCACCCCCTAAAGTATAAGTGGGGAAAGATTTTAAAGCCAAATGCCTTCTTTTCGTAAAAAGTGTCCAGAACTCGAGGCTAGCACTGGCACGGTCTTGATGTCAACCCAAGTGAGTCTCTGAAAGGGAGCTTCCGTGGTTGGTGACATTCAGATGCACCCACTGGACGGGAAGCTCACATATCTTTTCTTCCTTACTCTTTTACCGTGGTAATGGGAAGACAATTTGCAGTTTACGGATTTAGGTCGACTGCTGTCAATCTTGATTTGTATGTTTAAGAGGGTGTCGGTTGTTACTTCTTTGGAAGAAACTTCAATTTTGAAATATATACTAACTCAGGAAGAAAGCATTGATTTTCTCCCAGAACATACAGGTTGTGCTACTATTTTTCAGTTAATGAGTGCAACAGGGTTCCTGTGGAGCCTTCAGCAGTTTCCCAAGGATACTATAAATGAAGAGACTGTTGAGTTGCTGCAGCCATATTTTAACATGGATGATTATTCTTTGGAAAATGCCAAAAAAGTCTGTGGGAATGTGGCTGGCCTGCTGTCCTGGACCCTTGCTATGGCCACATTTTATGGTGTCAACAGAGAGGTGTTGCCTCTGAAGGTAAGAGTTTCCCTCTGTCTCCTAGAAAATCAGTGTTCAGTAAAAATCAGTCATCAGTATTACTGCTATGAGAAGACAAAGCAAAGCAGCATTTTGACTAATAAAGATCTATGTCGCCATTTTGCTAAATGTTTCCTCTTTTCTTCATGTCTTCTTGTGGTTTCTCAATTTCTTTACATCTGTTACGTGTTTCTGGGCATCACAGACAAGAAATCAAAGCCAGCTTGTTAACTTAAAGCAGGAAATGAATTCAGCGCAAGTAATAATTAAGCTGTCATAAAAGAAAACTTGCCATTTCTTTAAAGTTTAAAGAGATTAGTTTGGAGATAGAATTTGATTACTAGTTTCCAAACAAAGTTTATAGAAATTAAGGTCAACACCCAAAAATATTTGAAATTTAAAAAGAGGGGGAGGGTGGGGGGAACCCTTGTTTCTAAGAAACAAACGAACAAACAAAATTTTGAAAGATCGCTCACAAAAGAAGAGAAATCAGGATGTTGCAGACTTCCCACAACCCTAAATATTAGAATGTAATGGGGAGATATATGCAGAGTATTGAGGAAATTGCTGTGGTCTAAGAATTCAATAACTGGTCAAGCTGCCCTTCATGTATAAGGGAACAAAAAGACATTCTTAAGGATGCAGTTTAAGTACTGAGTGGTAAATACACACACACACACACACACGCACTCCATGTATACAAGGGCAACCTGTTCTTCAGGTCAGAGGGAACAGAATGACATTCTCAAGAGTGCGAAGGATTCATAAAATACACCACCCAGATACCTAGTAACCTCCTGCCCCACCCCCACCATAAAGCTAAAAGAGGGGAAAGTGGTTGCTCTGTGGAATGGAAAATGATGAGCAGGTGGGCAGGGTGTTGTGGGTTTTCATAGTAAGCCTTATAAAAATGGCTGCTTTTTTTTTTTTTTT